GCCTCCAACTAGACTCAGCGCCGCTGATGACAACCCTCTGAGCTCTGCCATTCAGCCAGTTCTCTATCCACCCCACTGACCACTCATCTCGCCCACACTTCCTGAGCTTCCCTAGGAGGATGTTATGGGAGACAGTGTCAAAAGCCTTGCTGAAGTCTAAGTAGACAACAACTACAGCTCTCCCCTCATCTACCCAGCCAGTCATACCATTGTAGAAAGCTATCAGACTGGTCAAGCATGATTTCCCCTTGGTGAATCCATGCTGACTACTCCTGATAACCTTCTTTTCCTCCACTTGCTTGTTGACGACCTCCAGGATAAGCTGCTCCATCACCTTTCCCGGGATGGAGGTGAGGCTGACCGGCCTGTAGTTTCCTGGGTCCTCTTTCTTGCCCTTTTGAAAGATTGGAGTGACATTGGCCTTTCTCTGATCCTCAGGCACCTCTCCTGTCCTCCAGGACCTCTCAAAGATACATTGTGTCTTGTCCACAAGGGTATGTTCATTAATAAAGTCATCTTTGTGGTTTTCTTTCTGATAACCTCAGATAAGGTGCTCTGCGAGTGCCTCAATATATGCATTTTTCAAGCCCAAATGCAATTTTTCTGTCTTTTTTTCAGCATACTTCCAATATTTCCTCAACATTGAAAATAAAGTGGACATCAGATGAACATCCTTCCTATCTGTGCAACATTCTAGGTAGTTCTTTCGCTCCCTAGGCCCCAAACTTTAACTCCCTGTTCCTCTGCTTGTGCTTGCAATAACTTCATTAATCATTCCCTCTGTGGCTGTACACTGAGACTCTTATACTGAATGGTTTATCTGCTGTAAGCCCAGGGTCTTTTCAAAATCCTTACTTTCCCAGGACTTACACCCCCACACTACTTGAGTATGGCTGATGCAGGATCTTGCACTGAACTGTGTTTAAGCACACATTAGGAGGAACCAGTCTTGTCAAGCAATCAATTGCTTTGCTTTCTATGACTGCCCTGACCTCAGCACGAGTTAACACTTCACCAGTTTTTGTGTCATCTGCAAAATTTTATCACGCTTACTTTGACTTTATTGCCAGATGACTGAAGAAGATGTTGAAATCCTAGGGCTTAATACTCATCCCCAAGAAGCCATCCTGAAACACTCTCTTCAGTGGTTTTTCTGACAAGGGTGTTCTGAGATCTGCCAGCAAGACAGTTCCTAATCCAGGTTATGCATGGGTTTACTCATACGTTACAATGCTCATTTTAAATGGCAATGATTCAAGTTAGGTGAATTAGGTGAAGTCCCTGGTGACTTGAAATAGGGAAACATGGCACCCATTTTTAAAAAGGGTAGAAAGGAGGACCCTGGGCACTACCAACCTGTCAGCTTCTCCTCTGTGCCTGGGAAGATCATGGAACAGATCCTCCTAGAAGCTATGCTAAGGCACATGGAGGACAGGGAGGTGAGTCATGACAGCCAGCACGGCTTCCCCAAGTGCAAGTCCTGCCTGACCAACATAGTGGCCTTCTACGACGGAGTGACTACATCAGTGGACAAGGGAACAGCTATTGATGTCATCTGTCTGGACTTCTGTAAGGCCTTTGACATGATCCCCCACAACATTCTTCCCTTTGAATTGGACAGATAGGAATTTGATGGATGGACTGTTTGGTGGATGAGGAATTGGTTGGATGGTAGCATCCAGAGGGCAGTGGTCAACAGCTCAATGTCCACATGGAGACCAGTGACAAGTGGTGTCCCTCAGGGGTCCGTACTGGGACCAGTGCTGTTTAATACCTTCATCAATGACAGCGTTTGCAGATGACACCAAGCTGAGTGGTGCGGTTGACATGTCTGAGGGACGGGATGCCCTCCAGAGGGACCTGGACGAGCTCAAGAAGTGGGCCCATGTGAACCTCATGAGGTTCAACAAGGCCAAGTGCAAGGTCCTGTACCTGGGTCGGCACAACCCCTACTATCAATACAGGCTGGGGGATGAAGGGATTGAGAGCAGCCCTGCCGAGAAGGTCTTGGGGGGGCTGGTGGATGAAAAGTAAGATGT